GAAGATGCTTTTTGTTTGATTGAATAATAAAAACACAAATTTACCTCCATAACCAACTCAGTTTAAATGTTGAGATTCTGACATTTTACCAACATTTAACCTGAAACTGATGTTGCAGGAGGGGTGGGGGTTCGGTCCTGGATCTAAAGCGGGCCTCACAGATTCTGCTGGATGATGAAAGTCATGTTGGGTATTTTCTTGTGTTGCACATTTGTTGTCAGATTCCTAAAAAAGAGGGAAATTTGACAGGTTCTGCTGACGATCATAGAAACCAAGTAAAGCCACAATAACAGACCATTTCAAGTCCACACCTGTCTGGGTCAGTTACTCTGGGGTTGGACCTGATTACCAGCCTGGTTCTGCTCTGGTGCAGAGCTGAGAGCCTGACTAGACTTGTACAAACTTTGTGATGAACAAAAGTAAAATTATTTTTCTTTTCCAGTTTTGTGAATTGTATACATCTGTCTGTCCAGTGCCTTTCCCCCCACTTCTTGGTTCTCCCTAACAGAATCCTCCAGAACTGGTCTCAGGTCCAGAATGTTTATCATCTGTTGTCAAATGAAGACGAGATGCTTCAAAGAGTCAAACTCAAAACGACCGGATTTTCTTCTTAAAAGCGACATTTGACCCGTCTGTGTTCTGTTATGATTCAAACATGGGTTTGAGATTGGACTAACTGCATTTGTTTCTATTAACATTTTACACATCACAACGTTTTCAACCTGAAGTTGCACAAATTTGATTCAGGATGTTTAGAAAGGCCACAGATAAGAGTTCTCACCAGCAGAACCTCTGAAGTTCGGTTTATCCAAAACAAAACAAAACATCGATTATTTCTCTTTAGATCAGGTTTTACTTACCCTAACCTAAAATTGGTTCCGTTTTTATAAAACAAACCAGAAAATAAAACCAACCAGGACTCGAACTCGCAATCTACGGTGCAACAAAGCCGCGACCGAACCCCGGAACCATTGAAACATCCAGGATTTACCTCCGCAGAACACCGGCCCTCAGCAGAAGTGTGTCCAGAATGGAGCTGCTGGAAGCCACGAAGTCTGATCCGTGTTTCAAAGATTATTTATTTTATTTATTTACAGAAACAGAACCTCAGACTTCAGTTAAATCCATTTGTTTCATACAGTAACAATAATAGTTTTCCTCTCCTGTCGCGAGCTTGTGACGTCATTATCGGGACGCAGATAGTATAATCTCGATACTATAAGATTTACTGCATTATATAAGATTTAAATGTGCATAGCTGTTGTTTGAGTGTAATTACATAGTCATGCCTTGAGAAGAACCACGTCCATTTTTAACCGAACAAAGATACCGGTTCCCCCTGCTAAAACCCTGTATGGTTCTACCCGGCGCCTCCTGATGACGTAATATCTACAACGTCTTTAGGCGGGTTTCCGCGTTCACAGATGTAAACAAATGATGTAGAGTTTAACCGAAGTCAGGAGCGGGTCTGTGGAGAGATGATCTGGGACCAGCTGCAGCTCAACCCGACCATCACCGCGGCGCTACAGAGAGGTCAGAACCGAACCGAAGTCCAGAACCAGGTCAGGGTTTCCTGTCGTGCAGTTAGACTCAGTCCAGGCCAGGAGAGGTCGACAACCAACAGTGATGGGAGTTAGGACCCAACATGTTTTAGATCATTACTGACAGAACTCTGGCAGACTTGAATCTAATTATTTTCAGTGAATATAACCAGATAAACTCTTCAGGTTCTGCTCTAGGACCAGATAAAAGCTACATGTTACTGCAGTGTTCAGCATTATCATGTTGCCATGGTAATCCTCTCTTCTCCAGCTCAACTAAAGTCCTTCAGGGAGGTCTTGTGTGTTTCGGGTCTGGACCTGCAGAGACTCACTGGTTTGTCCCAGTCTGAGGTCCAGCAGGTGCTTGTCGCCACCGCCGCCGCATGCAGAAGACATCGTCCAATCACAGGTCAGGCAGGTCTGTTGATGTCATCCTATGTCTCACCATCATGACAGTAACAGTGTTTCTGTGTGCTCAGCCTTGCAGCTGCAACAGGCCGAGGGTCATCATGGGTTCCAGTCTGGCCTCAGGCTTGGACTTGGCTGTCCAGTTCTGGACCAGCTGCTGAAGGGGGGTCTGCCTGTAGGGACCATCACAGAACTGTCAGGAGAGAGCGGGGCAGGCAAGACCCAGCTGGGCCTGCAGCTGAGCCTGTCAGTGCAGTACCCCCGAGAACATGGAGGCCTGAGCTCAGGTCAGTGAACGCATCAACAGAGAATAAACGGTCAGTGAACACATCTCCAGGATGACTGGTTAAACCTTTGGATGACTGGTTAAACCTTTGGATGACTGGTTAAACCTTTGGATGACTGGTTAAACCTTTGACTGACTGGTCAAACCTTCGGCTGACTGGTCAAACCTTCGGCTGACTGGTTAAACCTTTGACTGACTGGTTAAACCTTTGGATGACTGGTTAAACCTTTGACTGACTGGTCAAACCTTTGGATGACTGGTTAAACCTTTGACTGACTGGTTAAACCTTTAGTTAACTGGTCAAACCTTTGGCTGACTGGTTAAACCTCTGGCTGACTGGTTAAAGCTTTGACTTGACTGGTCAAACCTTCGGCTGACTGGTTAAACCTTTGGTTGACTGGTCAAACCTTTGGATGACTGGTTAAACCTTTCGTTGACTGGTCAAACCTTTGGCTGACTGGTCAAACCTTTGGCTGACTTGTTAAACCTTTGGCTGACTGGTTAAAACTTTGACTGACTGGTCAAACCTTTGGTTGACTGGTCAAACCTTCGGCTGACCGGTCAAACCTTCGGGTGACTGGTAAAACCTTCGGATGACTGGTTAAACCTTCGGCTGGATGGTTAAATCTTCGGCTGACTGGTTAAACCTTTGGATGACTGGTCAAACCTTTGGATGACTGGTTAAACCTTCGGCTGGCTGGTTAAACCTTTGACTGACTGGTTAAACCTTTGGCTGACTGGTTAAACCTTTGGCTGACTGGTCAAACCTTTGGCTTGTTAGGATCAAATCTTCGGCTGACTGGTCAAACCTTTGGATGATTGATCAAACCTTTGGCTGACTGGTCAAACGTTCGGCTGACTGGTCAAACCTTTGGCTGACTGATCAAACATTTGGCTTGTCAGGGTTAGGGTCAAACCTTTGACTGATTGGTCAAACCTTTGGCTTGTCAGGGTTAGGGTCAAACCTTCGGCTGACTGAATGAACCTGTGTTTCAGGAGCGCTGTATATCTGCACTGAGGACCCGTTTCCCATCAGGCGTCTGCAGCAGCTGATCTCAGAACAGTCAGTTCTGCGCTCTCACGTCCCACCTTCTTTGATCTGTGGTATTCGGTTCAGTGACCAGGTCTACATCGAGCACACAGCTGATCTGGTGAGTTCACATTACCGCTTTATAGTAACCCCAGCTGTTTGTATTAAATGTTTAATGTTATCCACACCCAGATATCCACCTGTAAAAAGTCTGTTAAATAAATGTTTTATTAGTTCTGTTAGATTGAAGGAAATTTTATATCTAATTAACTGAGTTATTGATCCAGTCTTATATTTGATCTGTTGCTGTAATTCTTTAAACAAAGAAAGAGAGTGTAAGTCTGTCCCAGTTTCCCTCTCTGTAACATCAACAAAGCTTGTTGGCATTGTCTGATGTAAAAGGTACCGCCCCAGGTGTGTGACCAGGAAGTTTGGTTTTATGTACATGTAATACTTTAGAAGAGAAGGAAGATTTCATTTTGAGTGCAGACTACAGAGAGGGCCTTGTTATTCTTCTGATTCTGATAAAACCAAGACCCACAGTGGCCAGTATGCTCCAGAACTGCAGAAATCAGATGGGATTGTTGCAGTTTCATGATGAAAATTCTGTCATTTTGTTTGGAGTGTCAACATTTGGGCCTCTTCTTGTCAGAACCAGTTGGCCAAAACTTTACCCCCCTCCACATAAGAACGTATTATTGTCAGAAGTTTGTGGGCGTCTTTGTTCACGCTAAAAGTACTCGGATGCTGCATTTTCTTCAACCACTCGCTTCATAAAAAACCTACTCTCATCCAGAAGCTGACGGTTGTAGGCTACCTGGAAGCAGACATTTATAAAGACAGTCAAAAACCCCTGGATGGACAGAAAACAAACGTTCGTGGAGGAATCTGTCTGTTAAAAACTGTGGAGCTTTAACCAGGACAGATTTGTGCACAAATAATGTTGGGTGACTGGTCTCTGATTTTTTTGTTTTGTTTTTAAAGTGTTAAAGGGATCCCCGATTAGTTGTAACATTAGACTTTATTTAATAAACATATATTTTAACTATAAAATAAAGACTGTAAAAATAC